TAGAAACCCTTTTTTTAAATAATAAAAGAACATCAAGAATACATGCCAGGCATGGTGGCACATGACTTTAATCCAGCACTTGTGAGGCAGAGGCAGAGGCAGGTAGATCTCTTACAATAAAATAGAAACATTTTTTTTTTTGTTTTTGGTCTTTTTGAGACAGGGTCTCCCTGTAGCCCCAGCTGTCCTGGAACTTACTATGTAGACCAGGCTGGCCTTGAACTCACAGAGATCCTCTGCCTCCCGAGTGCTGGGATTAAAGCCGTGTGCCACCACGCCCGGCATAGGAACACTTTTTTAAATAATAAAAAAGCATCAAGAATATATGCAAGGCATGGTGGCACATGACTTTAATCCAGCACTTAAGAGGGAGAGGCAGGTGGACCTCTGTGAATTCAAGATTAACCAGTCTACATAATGAGCTCCAGATGAGCCAGGGCTACAGAATGAGATCCTGTCTCCAAAACTAAATAAGTAAATAAATAAATGTGTGTGTAGATGTGCTGGAAAGTAGCTCAGTGGTTGAAGTACTTGCTTTGCATGTATGAGGACCTGAATTTGGATCCCCAGAACCCATGTAAATATGGGCACAGTAATATACACCTGTATCAGTGTGCTTAGGATGAGATAGGAGGCAGAAACAGGAGCATCCCCAGAACCTCATGCGCTAGTTTTGTCATTTTCACCATCAAAGTCTCAGTGTATAGAATACTGAATGCGGAAAAAAAATGAAAGCAATTCATCTAAAATCAGGAACAAGACAGAGATTTCCAATTTTTTATTCAATATTATACTTCAAATTCTTTAAAAGAAAGAGATGAAAGAGGCATAAACAGGAAAGGAAGTCAAATTATCCCTGTATACAGATAGTATGATTCTTTACCTACAAAATCTTAAGAGATCCTACCCAAACACTTAAAACTGGTAAATAAATATAGCAAAGTAACAGGATACAAAAACCAGTATCATTTCTATACACCGAGAATGAAATCAGGAAAACAATCCCATTCAGAACAGCCTCAAAAAAAAAAAAAAAGAAGATGAAAGACTTTGATGATAAAGATGACAAAGCACTGACAAAGAGTCTATGAAATCACCTTCATAGTATGAATGGCATTCTTCACAGGACTAGAAAAAAAAAATCTGAAAATTCCTATGGAAGCACAAAAGTTCCTGAATAACCACAGCAATCATGAGAAAAAGGAGCAATGCCAGAGGCATTATAATATCTGATTTCAAAATATACTACAGAGCCACAGTGAAAAAGAAGATGCTGTCATTAAAAACAGAATAGCAGACACAGAAACAAGTCCATGCATCTACAGCTGGGTCTTAACACAATTATCAAAAACATACACTGCAGAAAAGGCAGTCTCTTCAACAAACAGTGCTGGGAAAACTGTACATCCAGACATTAACTCCAAATGGAACTAAAGTCTTACCATAAGACCTGAAACTTTGAAAATACAAGAAGGAAACACAAGAGAAACATCTGACTCTGACAGCTCAGGAAATAAAATATCAGTCAGCAAATGGAATTAAATCAAATTAAAGAGTTGCTCTACAGCCAAGAAAACAACAGAGCAGAGAGAACCTGCAAAATGCTAGACAATCTTTACCAGCTATTTATCTCTCAGAGGATTAACACACAAATATTCAAAGAAATTTTTTACACTTATTTTGTGTGGGGGGGAGCATGTGTACCATGGTATGGGTGTAGAGATTAAAAGGCATTTTAAGAGAGTCAGTTCTTTCTTTTCACTATGAGGGTTCCTTGGATCAAACTCAGGTTATTGGGCTGGGTTGCAAATGCCTTTACCTACCAAACCATCTTCTCAGTCATGTACAGAATTTTCAAAAAGCTAGGTAGGGCTGGGGGTGGTGGTGGTGGTGTATTCCTTTAATTCCAGCACTTGGGAGACTGAGACAGGCTGATCTCTTTGAGTTCAGGGCCAGCCTGGTCTACCTAGTAAACACCTGGCCAGCCAGAATTACATAGTGAAAACCTGTCTCAAGAAAGACCAAAAGAGAAAGCCATGTGTGGTGGCACACACCTTTAGTCCCAGTACTTGGAGGTAAAGGCAGGAGGATTTCTGTGAGTATACACAGCAAGTTCCAGGCCAGCTGGGGCTATAGGGAGACCCTGTCTCAAAAACAAAAAAGAAAAGTCAGGAAGGTAGAACCCAATCCTCAGAAAGCTGAGGCACAAGACAGGCTACATAGTCAGACCCATACACATATGAAAATGTCATAATAAAACCCCTGACTTATTTTGTATAACTAACATACATACATACACATACACACACACACACATACGCACATATATATATGCTAATTTTTAAACTAAACTAAAAATGGACATTAAAAATGGCTGATCTTGGGGGCTAGAGAGATGGCTCAGTGGTTAAGAGCACTGGCTACTCTTGCAGAGGACCCAGATTCGGTTCCCAGCACCCATATGGCAGCTAACAATCATCTGTAACTCCAGTTCCAACAGATCTGATGACCTCTCTGACCTCTGTGGGCATTGTACAACATGGGTGCACTTATATACATGCAGGCAATACACTCATACACAGAAAATAAAAATAATAAAATATTTTAAAAATGGCTGATCTGAACAGCTATTTAGCAAAAGAAGAACAACTGTTCGATAAATTTATGAAAAAATAATCTTTGGCTGTCAGAATGATTATCAAAAGAGAAAGCATTTATTATTCAACCAAAAGGAAAACTGAAATATGTCCAGCAAGAAAATAAAGGGACCTTGAAGATATCATGCTGTGTGAAATAAACCTCATATAGAAAAATAACTATCATGTGTTTTCTCTCATATGTAGAAGAAACAAAACCCAAAAAGCCCAGAAAGTAGAAAAACTTAGGGCAGGTAACAGGGTAGAGGACAGGAAGCGGGTAGGACAGAGAAAGGACAGGGTCAAAGCACCACATTTGCATACATGGAAATGTCACAACGAATCCCTCTAGTATGTACTATTAATGTGCATTAATAATCACATACACAGTACTGGGTTGTTTTTGTTTTTGTTTTTGAGACAAGGTCTCATTAATGTAGCCCCAACTGGCCTGGATCTCACTATGTAGACCATCCCAGACCAGCCTCAATCTCACAGCAATCTGCCTGCCTTTGCCTCCTGAGTGCTGGGATTAAAGGTGAGTATCAACATGTCTGGTGATAACTATATCTATATCTATATCTGTATCTATTTTTGTCTTTTTGAGACAGAGTCTTCCTGTAGCTCCAGCTGGCCTGGAACTCAATATGTAGACCAGGCTGGCCTTGAACTCACAGAGATCTGCCTGCCTCTTCCTCCCGAGTGCTGGGATTAAAGGCATGTACTACCACTCCTGGCATATATGTTTTTTGTATACAGTTGACTTGTTTAATCAATACTACTCAATTCATAAAGCATCTTTGCTCCTAGCAAAACCAGTTAAGCTTTTTTTTACCTCAGGTCACTTCTTTCTACTGTATTCCCTGTTTTGACCAATATAGGTGCTGGCAGCAGAGAGCTTGGCATTAACTGCATGGAGGTATCAGTAAATTCCTCTGCTCCATTGGTTGGGATTTCCACCAAAGTCAAAATGAATGCTTGTTCATCTTCTCCATCTTGATGTATATTAGCAATTAGATTCACTGTCAAAGTTAAAGGTTAGGAATGAAAAGCTAATCCAAAAATAGCATAAAATCACTGTTTAAATTCTAAAAAGGCAGTCTCATGACATATATCACCAAGATTAAAATACAGTCCCCAACCCATCAAAATAATTTCCCCTCAGGGGTAAAGATGATTCATTCATTATATTTATAATTTTGAATAAAATTGATATAAAAACACTTTCTCAGTGTGGGTTTTTCCTGTTTTCCAAAAAATTGCTTTTTAAGACTGCCACTGACCATTTTTAATACTGTTTTGTGCTCTTCCACAGTTAAATGTAAAAATTACATGATATTTTATCTATGATACTTTGCTGAAGGCAGACTTTCATACCTGTAAGGTCCTGAGGGCTGATTACACTCTCTTCTGGGATTACACTCTCTTCTGGGACTTCTGGAATACTAGTTGGTGTACACTGCCATAAAAATATTAGAAGGAAAATGAAGCTTGAAAATGTTTTTCAACAAAACATTGGCAAAGAGGCAATGTCTCCAAACTCGATGACTTTTTTTTTTCTAATCTTTTTGAGACAGGATCTCCCTGCAGCCCCGGCTAACCTGGAACTCATTATGTAGACCAGGCTGGCCTTGAACTCACAGAGATCTGCCTGCTTCTGCCTCCTGAGTGCATACCACCACGCTCCTCGACTTACCTTTTTTTAAAAAAATATTTTATTTTTATTCTATGTGTGTGAGTGTTCTGCCCGCATGCATGTAAGCACACCTGTGTTGTGCAATGCCTTCAGAGGTCAGAAGACAGCACCAGACTTTTCTGGAACTAGAGCTACAGATAAGTTGTTAGCTGCCATGTGGGTGCTAGGAATTGAACCCGGGTCCTCTGCAAGGGCAGCCAGTGCTCTTAACCAATGAGCCAACTCTCCAGCCCCCTCATTAACTTATTGTAAACATGCAATTTTTAAGTGTTTTTAAAGATTTTTAGCTCTAGGAGATCTGATATCCTCTTCTGAACTCCAAGGGCACCTGTATACATGTGTACAAAACCCAGACACATACATAATTAAAATAAAATCTTAAAAAAGAATGCCGATTAAATTGTTAAATATGAGTATTCTGGGTTGGAGAGATGGCTCAGTGGTTAAGAGCAGTGACTGCTCTTGCAGAGGATGCGGGTTCAATTCCTAGCACCCACATGGCAGCTAGAACCATCCTTAACTCCAGTTCCAGGGGAACCCGAAGCTCTCTTCTGACCTCCGCGGCATTGCACGACATGGGTGCACTCACATACATGCAGGCAATACACTCATACACATAAAATAAAAAATAATTAAAAAAAAATTTTTAAAAGTGAGTATTCTATAATTTCTGAAGTGTCAGGGTAGAGACCCAAACTCCTCAGCTCTGGCCATGTTCACATCAAAACATACACTCTGAGTAGGTACCACCTGAATGGAGGTAATTGCTCTCCTTGCCTCCAGTGTAGGTTTTTCCTGTTTTCCAAAAAATTGCCAGTATACTGTTTATAATTCTCTAATGCTTAAAATCTTCAAACTTCCATTTTGAAACAAATAATGTCAATTATTGATTAGGTAAGTCTTGTCAATGAATACCAAAACTATTAGGCGATAAGTGCTTGGTCTCAGTGGACAAGTTTCTAACAAAGTAGAAAAGATGTCCTTATAACAGAAATCTCATTGACACTATTCTGGCCAAGTGCTCAGTCAGCATCTCCAGCAACGGGTCAAAGTGATACTATGCATCTCCTGATGTGATACAAAGGGAATAACACAGCATTGCTCTGTAGCCATCTAGCCCCTCAAACTGAAACCAACAATGAGGCGGCCATTAAAACAAAAGAAAAAAAAAACAGGTGTGGGGGCATGATAGTGCCCTTTAATTCCAGAACTGGGGAAACAGAGGCAGGTAGGTGTCTGTGAATTCCAGGCCAGCCAGGGCTACAAAGCAAGACCCTGTCTAAATAAAGAAACAAATAAACATCAGAATGTGGACAACCTTAAATGCTTCTAAAATATCAAATTCATTGACATTGAATACAGTGATTCAGTAACATTATTTTAATGCTCATAAAACGTCAAATTCACAAAAGAGAAAACACATGCCTTTAACCCTAGCACTTGGAAGGCAGAGACAAGGGATCTCTGTGAGATCTAGGCCAGTCTGGTCTACACAGCAAGTTCCAGGCTAGGGCTACAGGGAGACCTTGTCTTTAAAAAACAAAAACAAAAACAAAAAAAAACAAAGAAGAAATGACAACTAAATGCAATGTGAAATGTGACAAATCTTAATTGGGTCCTAAACCTTTTGTTTATTCTTGGTTTTGTTTCTGTTTTTATTTTATTTACTTTATGTATATGAGTCTTTTGTATGTGAGTGTACCAAGTTCATACAATGTTTGCAGAGGCCAGCAAGGAGCATCAGGTCCCCTGGAAGTAGAGTTACAGATGGCTGCTAGCCACCATGTGGGTGCTGGCAACCAAACCTGGATCCTCTGCAAGAGAAGCCAGTTGCTAAGCCATCTCTCCAGCCCTGTTTTTGTTTTTGTGATAGGGTCTCAAGTCTCCCAGGCTGCCCTCAAACTCCCTATGTAGGGGAAGATGACCTTGAACTTCCGATCCTCTTGTATCTATATCCTGAGTGCTGGGATTATAACTGTACTACTCTGCTTGATTTTAATCAGTAGGGAATCAAACCCAGGGCTTCATGCATACTAGACAGGCACTCTATCAAGTGACTTACATCAATACTCCGTTAAAAAAAAAAAAAAATCTACAAAGACATGATTGGGATAAGTGTGGAAATTCTTAAGGGAACTGCATATTAAAATAATGTTACTGAATCAATGTTAAATAGTACAGTAATACTGAGTCTGAAACAGCACTGTCACTATTTTGTAAAAGAACATTCTCGTTCTTTATTAAAGGTACGTTTACATCAGCTCAAGTTTTCAACTTATTTTCAAATGGACCAAGTTTTTATTTAATAATAAATTAACTAATAATTTTAAGAACTAGCAGAGCACCAGCATTCATCACTCTCTGCTATTTTTTTCCTAATTTTTTGTATTTGTGTGTGTGTGTGTGTGTGTGTGTGTGTGTGCGCGCGCACCCTTGGAGGCCAGAAAGGCATCAGTTCCCCCGGAGCTGGAATTACAGGTGGTTGTGAGCTACCCTATGTGGGGGCTGGGAACCAAACTCTGGTCCTTTGGAAGAGTAGTATATGCTCTTAACTGCCGAGTCATCACTCCAGGTTCAATTAATTTATTTACTCTGTGTGTGGGGGGGGTGCACATGGCTACATCGAGATGTGAAGGTCAGAGAATAACTTGAGGGAGTTGGTTCTCTCTTATGTGGGTCCTGGGAATTGACCTCAGGTTGCCAGGTTGGCAGAAAGCTCCTCTACCCACTAAGTCATCTCACCAGCACTCAATCAAGTTTTTAAGAGTATTTAACTAGGGATGGTGAGATGGTTCAGAAGATAAAGGCACTTGCCTTGCAGACCTGGTGATCTGAGTTCAATCCTCAGAACTCACATGGTGGAAAGAAGAGACTGACTCTTCCAAGATGTTCTCTGACCTCCACAAGTACTGTCCTATGTGCATGTCTGTGCATGTGCATGCACATACATGAGCAGGCACACAAAATAAGTTTAAGTATCTACAGAGCTGGAGACCCAGTCAAAGAGAGCAAATGAGAAAAACTAACCACGACTCCAAAGAAACAGTATGCAAAAGTTCTTGTAAGAAAGAGTTATAAATTTTTCTCTAAGTCTGAAATTATTTCAAAACAAAAAGTAAAAAAACGTAGAACTCTCTTAACTTTGGATATAGTCAAACTCCCTAATCTCTATTTCCTTTAACAAATCATGCTGTTCCACACCTATTTTTAAAAATGTTCCTCTCCCTTTAATTAGCTATATTTATTCCTCAAGCACTCTCTGACCTAAGGAATTCTTTTAAGAATTCCTAGAGATTAAATTGATTGGGGGAATCTTATTCAAATCTCTACCACAGCATCTGTCAGAGTTTAACCATTCATTTACTCATACTTCCCAAAGAGTTGTATCCCAGAGCCTCACAGTACCAGACATGTAATAGTAACATCTCAGCCAACATCTACATTGTGAATGAACTCTTCAGAAGGAAGACCTAAGACCCAAGAAATAAATTTCTCAAGCTTTTAATAAAACTGGGTAACTCTTTTATCTCTATGCTCCAGAGACTGAAAACACACCAAAAATTCTATCACATTCTTTGTTTTTTTGTGTTTGTTTTTAAGACAGGCTCTTAGAGAAGAGAGGCTGGCTTCAAACCCCTTGGCTCCAGAGATCCTCTTCCCTCAACCTACTAGTAGCTGAGACAACAGGTAAGTGGCCCTATACCCAATTCACAATACATTCCTGGCAAAGTAAAACTAGGAAAACTGGATTAGCAATTGTGAGGAGCTGGCAGGAACTGGAGAGCGCTGGGGAATTGTTGAAGTGAGGGAACTGTTTGTGAATTGCTTATGTGAACATATATATATATGGTTGGTTTTTTTTTTTTGGTCTTTTTGAGACAGGGTCTCCCTGTGGCCCCAGCTGTCCTGGAACTCACTATGTAGACCAGGCTGGCCTTGAACTCACAGAGATCCACCTGCGTCTGCCTCCCAAGTGCTGGGATTAAAGGCGTGCGCCACCAAGCCTGGCTTATTTGGGGTTTTTTGTTGTTATTTGAAACAGAGATATACCTGTTTATGCCTCCCAAGTACTGGGATCAAAGGTGTGTGTGGTTTTGTTTTTTGACATAGGGTGTTGCTGTAACTCAGGCTAGCTTGTTCCATAGTCCAAGTTATACTCAAACCTAAGATCCTCCTGCCTCTATCTCTAGAGAGCTGGGATTACAAGCATGAGCCACCATGGTAGGCTGAACCTATTTATAAAAAATGTGAACTAGAATAGATTATATTTACTGTATGTAAACTACGTTTCTAAATGAAGATAAAAACACATGCTGCCCATTGTTATAGTCTACATTTTTACCTGTGGCACATGAAGCATGACCATGCTGTCCTTAGAGTTTTCACTGGGTGGTTCTTCAGCAGAACTGTCACCAAGACCGTGACCAGAATCAAGTGTGTGAAGCCCTATCTCAGAGGAAGTAACTGGAGCAACGAACATGTGCGCTTCTTGTAATCTCTCCTCTTGAGCTTCATTTCTAAAATAGTTTCAAACATTATTTGAAATACAGAAACCAACCATGGAATTATTTTTAGAACTAAGTATTATCATTTAACAGTTTTCAATAAAATTCTTAACAGCTAAGGCCCATGGCTAAAGCAAACGCAAAAGAAATGAATGCAGCATTACTTCCCTCTTTACCTTGAGTTTAGGCCTGCTTCTTGTGAAGCACTGGTCCCTCTGACATTGGGTGCATACACCAATTGCTTCTGCTCCTTACTCTCTGCTGTTATAACTGGCCCAAGGGTTTTAGCTTCCAAATCTACTGCTTTGGGATCATTTTTCTCAGTTTCTTAAATAAATAATAATAATAAACACATTTAAGATATAGTTGAAAATGTTCAACTAAACTCTTTATATCAGAAACATCCTCTCTCTTAAAGATAGATTCAGCAACTCCTTCATGTGTCTCATGACCCAAAAAGCAGCTCATTTACATGGCAGAAGAATGAGAATGTCAAGATTTTTAAAAAATTATTTACTTACTTTATTTATTTTTATTTATTTATTTATTTATTTATTTATTTATTTATTTTTTATGTGTATGAGTGTATGTATGTAAGTTCACCTGTGTCATGCAATGCCTATGGAGGTCAGAAGAAAGCATCAGATCCCCTAGAACTGGGGTTACAGGTGGTTGTTAGCCATCATGTGGGTTCTGGGAACTGAACCTAGGTCCTCTGCAAGAGCAGCCAGTGCTCTTAACAGCTGAGCCATCTCTCTTGCCCCCATGCCAAGATTTTTGAACAGTAAAACATGATTAATAAAGACTACACTGCATATATTTCCTTCCTGGATACCAAAGCAATTGCATCCCCCCCCCAATAGTTTTACAGTACTAATTAAAATAGCACTATAATTAAGGATAAGCAAGACAGCTTAGCAGGTAAAGACTCCTGTCACCAAGCCTGAGTTTGATCCCTCAGACCCACATGGCAGAAAGGTGAGAATTGACATGCTATGGCACATGCACACCTGCATTCACACACATATACACATACATGCATAAATCACAATTACAAATATTTTTTAAAAACAATATTATAGGAACTAGAGAAACGGCTCCGCTATTAAGGTGAAGACAGACTCTCTGAGAGATTGAGGCTAGCCTGGTCTACATAGCGAGTTCTAGGCTAACTGGAACTACAGCGAGACCCTGTCTCAAAACAAACAAACAAAACAAAAATCAAGCTAAACAAAAACAAAAAGTCAGGCATGACAGCACTTGGGAGGTAGAGGCCAGTTGATCAAGAAGTTCAAGATCATCCTTTGTCATACAGTAAATTCAAGGCCAGCCTAGACTTACAAGAGACTTTATCTCAAATAATTAAAAGAACAAACCAAAAACAGTATGGTGATCCAAGCCTGTAATCCCAATACTTGAGAGATAGAGGCAGGAAGACTGGGAGTTCTAGGTCATTCTCCTCAGCTACATGATTCTGAGTTCAATGTCAGTCAGTGAGTGATACACAAAACCAAACAAACTGCCGGGTGGGCGTGGTAGTGCACGCCTTTAATCCCAGCACTTGGGAGGCGGAGGCAGGCAAACTTCTGTAAGTTAGAGGCCAACCTGGTCTACACAGCAAGTTCCAAGCCAGCTGTGGCTACAGGGAGACCCTATCTCAAAAAAGACCAAAATAGATAAGTAAGTAAACAAACACAAAACTTAATTTTTTTTAGACAGGCTCTCACTATGTCCTGTGGGGCAGTCTCAACCTCCAGAGTGCTAGGACTAAAGGTATGTGCCAGCACACTAGACTCTAAGGAAAAAGCAATTAATGCAGCACTTTTTATTACAGCCATGCTTTGAAACACACGTACACTGCAGAGTTAAATCTAGCTAACTGAAAAATACACTACCTTATAAACCCCTTTAGTGATGAGAACACATAGCATCTACTCTACACTTATCAAAAGTAAAATACATCATCATTATCCTTCATCCTCATCTTGCTGCACCACTGTTGTACAGCTGTTTTTTTAAAAGGTACTGAATCTGAACAGTATATATGATATGGTATGCATGCATTTTTATTCTTTCAAAACTATACATTTAAATTTATTTACAAATGTATATGTGTGTATATATTGGTTTACATGTTAATATGTATGTGACCCCATTTTGGTGCTTATATGAGCATAAAATATTTCTAAAAGACTGTTAAATAGCAGTTTATCACTAAAGCTGAGACTAGTGGTCTGGGAACTAAGAAGGAACTGATTTTGTCTTTAACCTCAAGCTATTTAGGCAGTCTCTTAATTTCTGCCACATGTAGCAGCATCATATAACTTACTCGGACATGCTGAGTATTCACAAAAAAACACACATATACACAAATTAATCCAACAAACAACAAACAAAGCAAGAAAATGGTACCAAACTACTTGATATTTATTTTATTGCTCATTTTTACTTTTTTGCACTTAACAGCATTTTGTAAAATTTAAATAATTTAAATTTTAATTGCTAATGCACTATCACTTTTATTTAGAAAAGATCTATGCAGCCCAGGCTGGCTTCCAACTCCCTATACAGTTGAGGATGACTTTGAATTTTTGATCTTCCTGCTTCTACCCTCCAAGGGCTAAGAATATGGGCATGCTACCACACCAGATTTGCTAATAAAATAAGCTATTAAATTGGGAGGCAGGAGGGTTGCACATACCATAGTATGCATGTGGAGGTCAGAGGACAACTGTGTGATTCTGAAAAAAATCAAACTCACCATTTTGAATTTCCACTTCTGTCCCTTTGGTTACACAAAAACTGGGAGTTTCCTGATGACCATGAAACCCACTGGCCCCTGAAATTGTCTCAGGATTTGGTTTAGACTTAACAAACCTACTCCTCACTCTCAAATTTTTGGTCACTATAGAAGCTGTATGCCTAGAAGTAAAGATGAAAGAAAGTTATCAGTTAAGTAAAAATTCCTTTGCCATATTTATCTTTACCATTGATATAAACAATAAACACCATTCAGGTACCACAGTACAGTAGTTTGCTTGTTTGTCTGTCTGGACAAAGTCCTGACATGTAGCAAGGCTCACCTAAAACTCAAGGTTATCTCCTGCCTCAGTCTCTGCAGAGCTGGGACCACAGGTATGCATCACCACACTTGGGAAATGTTCACGTCTTTTTTTCTTTTAATTTATAAAAATTTGTTTTTATTTTATCATATGAATGCTTTGCCTGCATTTATATAAGTGCATCATGTGTGTACAATGCCTGCTGAGGCCAGAAAATGGTATCAGATCCCCTGGAACTGGAGTCAGACAGGTGGTAGCCACCATGTGGGTGCTAGGACATGAACTTGGGTTTCCGTCAACAGCACCCAGTGTTCTTAACTACTGAGTCATCTTTCCAGCCCGCAAACGTTCATTGCTTAATGTTAAAATTATAAAGTAGTAAGTTTACTAAAATACTTTAAAAAATGGAGACCATGTTTGTAAAAGACTACATTGACATAAATCTACTTCACTGAAGCTTCAAAGACACTGCAAACATAGTGCTGTAATTTTAATAAGCAAACCAATAAACCATTAAAATCCATATTAGCTAATCCTTAATATGTGAAAAAGCAACACTGCCTACTTTAAATTTATACAAAACCAACACTACAAGCAATAACTAAGACTAATGGTGGATCTAATTGTATTTATTAACTGAATACTAAAATAACCTGGTTGGTAGAGTGTTCTTCACTGCTTCTTCCATTAAACCATCTTCTTCTTTAGTATTTTGTTCCTTCCATACAATCTTGTTTTCTTCAAATGATGCAGGAGACATACTAATGACAGGTGAAGAAAGCTCCTGACATTCATGAACAATTTTGTGATTTACATTATCTGGGCTAAAAGGAACATGACTTTTATCCTTTGAATGAACATCAGGAAATACACATACTCCTACTGCAGAAGAAAATAGGAAATTAAAATTGATCCAATATTAATAGCTACTTGAATTAAATTAATTCTTCAACACTGAATAACTGTCCAATTCAATTTCATTAGTAGTTTGTTCTATTAGACTCCAAACTTAAATTATGATCTCACATTTCTTTCAAGGATTTAAACTATAATGAGCTTAATAATTCTTATCACTGAAAATTTGAGCCACTTTAATTAAAAATTGGTCTGTTTGTTACTATCAATAATTATATAACCCTAGATGGATTTCAAGATAGAACATCTTCAGTTACTAATTTTTAAAACTTTATTTTATGTACTAGAAATTTGTGGTAGGCTCCAAAGGGCCAATGAGAGACAAGCCCTACACAGAACACTAATTAGAGACTCTAATGATAAATACATGGTTGTGAAAATGAACGGCAGGTCAGTAATCAGTCAAGTCAATTGCCACGAAAACAATCAACACATTTACTCACTTAATGTAGCTTCTGGTATAGGGTAGTTACCTCAGCAATAGAATGCTTGCCTAGCAAATTCAAGGCCCTAGATTCAGTCCCCAGCACCAGGGGGGGAAAAAAAATAGACTATAGTTTCTAAATTTAGCTTAACATATTAAAAATTTAGGTTGGCATTTCCTTTGGTTTCTTGTAAACTACTGAAACAGTTTAAATTACCTCAGTACTACTACTTGCCCCTTCAGAGTAGATTTGTCATCAAAGTATGATCATCTCAAGCAGAAAGTACTTTACTAAAGAAACATGTATACAGTGATTAGTGGTCATTGACCTCCATTATCTAATGATGTTTATATTGCTATAGGTGGAGCATTCAATACATTCTTTTTTATTTAAAGACAGGTCTTATATATATATCAGGATGGCCTCAAACTCAGAGGTCAGCCTGCTTCTCCTGAGTGCTGGGATTAAAGACATGAGCCACCATGCCTAGCCAAATTATTTTATGTAGGTGCAGAAGTTAGAAGAAAGTGTCATAGTTCCTGGAACTGGAGTTATGGAAGACTGCTAGCCACCATGTGGGTGTTGAGAACTGAACCTGGGTACTCTGTAAGAGCAGTGAGCACTCTTAACCACTGAGCTATCTTTACAGTCCCAGCCAAATTATCCTTTCTTTTCTTTTTTTTTTGTTTTTGTTTTGTTTTGTTTTTTTAAAATTATTTATTTAATAACAATATAATTAGAAGAGGCATTTCATTACAACAGCATTGACATATTCAGTAATAATTTCCAGAGCTAAGATGCTTCTCTTTCAAAACTGGCTGTAAATTATTAGGTTTACGTTGAGTTAATAGAGTTATACAATATTGTACTCCACATAAACCCTTTAAGACA